ACACCGGATGACAACATTAGGAAATCTCCTGAAAATCGTGATGATCACCAGAACCCTACTGAGAAGGATGTTGAACTCCCGATTATTGATGTTGATGAAGAATACTCTGACAATGACTTAATTGCCAATATCAACCCTAGCATAGCTAGAAGGATGATGAACAGAAAAGGAAAGTAGGATGCTGCCAAAAGCCTCTCCAAAGAGAAGACTGCTGATGTTGTTCATAAGAAAACCAGGTATGAGAACAAGACTGGAGTAGAAACTGTGAAGGCTGGATTGTCAAAAGAAAAAGGGAAGGTGAAAACTCGAGTACCTGCTAGTAGTCTCTCAAAACCTTTGAGACAATCAATAGCAAAAAAAAGGAAGGAGCCTGAACCCTATGAATATGATGAGGAATCAGAATTTGAATTTGATGTTGAAGACATTCCTCTCAAAAGGAAACTCTCTTCAAGCAAAATGGCTAAAGTCCCTGAAGTCGCCACTGACAACATCTCCTTTCACCATCCTGAGAATGCAAACAGGTGGAAGTATGTATGTTTAAAAAGGATCGCCTTAGAAAGAGAACTGAACAACAGTGCCATGGAATGTAAGGAGATCATGGATCTAATCAAAACTGTTGGTCTAATAAATATTGTGGTAAAGTTTACCAACTGCTATGAAGTTCTTGTCAAAGAATTCATAGTGAATTTATCTGATGGGTGTGCTGATGGAAAGTCAGCTGATTTTAATTGTGTATATGTGAGAGGAAGGAAGGTAAATTTCTCTCCCTCTGAAATAAACAAATTCCTAGGAAGACCTGATGATGCTTGCCTTGAGCTAGAGGTTACTGACAACCAAGTGTGCCAAACCATTAATTCAAATCAAGTCAAGAGTTGGCCCTTAAGAGGGAAGCTGAATGCAAGCAAGCTGAGCATGAAATTTGCCATTCTGCACAAAATTGGTGCAGCTAACTGGGTTCTCACCAACCATAAATCAACCATCTCCACAGGCTTGGGAAGATTTATTTATGCTGTTGGAACCAGGACAAACTTTGACTATGGCAAGTATATCTTTGATCAAACATTAAAACATGCTGGAAGCTGTGCTATTAAATGCCCTATTGCCTTTCCCTCTCTCCTATGTGGTATAGTCCTTGCTCAGTATCCTGACATTCTAGTTGAAAAAGATACTGTATGCAAAATATCCCCTGCTCTTGGGTTGCACTATAAGCTATTTCAGGGAACACATGTTCCTGACATTGTCATGACATCAGCTGAGACATCAACTGTCAAGTCTCATTCTAAGAAAACTGATGTTATAGCTGTGCTGAAGGAAACCTGCAAAGAGCTTGATACAAGGAAAAGGACTCTTGAGGACCTGATTGCTAGACTAGAACAGGAGGAGATTGAAGGAAAAAGAAGGGAAGAGGATGCTGCTAAAGACCAGCTTAATGCTGAAGATAATGCCTCCTCTGAAGATGACAGTGCTTGAAGATCAGTGCAGTTGAAAAGTTTGTTGTTGGTACCTGATGCTGCAAATGACTTTTGATTTTTTTTCTCTGTGTTTTTATTATTACTTTTGGATGACTGTATAACCTAAAAGTACAATTATCTTTGGCCTATTTATGGATAAAGAGGGGGAGAAGATTTTGTGATAATTTTGGTAGAATTAGACTTGGTAGATATTATTAATTCTGCTGCTTTCTAATCTCTGATTGTTTAGGGGTTTTAGCCAAAAATTTTCCAAAGGAGGAGTTTGTAAGTGTTTGGTTGTTGGCATGTTTTTTTGGTAAAACCAGTTGTGTGAATGTCATGACTGATGTCATAACATTCTGGGATACAAGGTACATTCTGCAGAAAAAGAATGTCATACAGGAGCTGCTCAATATGAGTGTTTAGCTAATCATTATGCAATGCTCATATTTATTGCATTCTACCAAAATCAGTAAACAGGATTCTTGTTGTCATAACCAATGTTAAGACATCATGTACTGAACTAACATTTGTGCAGATTTATTATTTCTGAGAAGTTTCAGGAATCTGGTTTATTCAGTCCAGATCAGATTCTCACGTGGACTTAGGTTAACTTTGCTTAACCCTAATCTGGTTGTTAAAATCCTATGACCAAGTCTTGAGGTTAACCCTAATTAACCCTAGCTATTTTCGTGGAAGCCCTAACTGAAGAATAGCTGCCTATATATTCCTCATGAAGACTGTTGGTGAAAGATACTTTTGACAAAAGATCAATAAGGGACTGTATAGTTGTAACTACTGTAATCCAAGCAATTATCATTGTGATAAGTGACTTGGAGTAGGATTTGATTGTAAGGGTTGTGTATCACTCAAAGCTTTGAAGCACGAGTGTTTGTGTCACTTGATTAAAGCTTTGAAACAAAGTCAAGTTAGGGTTGTGTATCACTCAAAGCTTTGAAGCACGAGTGTTTGTGTTACTTGATTAAAAACTGTGAAGCAAAATCAAGTGTATGTTCTGAAGAGTGTCTTCATAATTTCATTAGTCAATTGTTTAGTATCACTGCTGTGATTGAGGGGGAGTGAGTAGGAACTCAGGTTTAAGTTGAACTTAGATTGAAGTTGCATTGGGTAGGTCTTAAGTGAAGGAGATAAACTGGTTGGTTTATTCCTGAATTAATATCTCTTATAGTGAATTTCCTCCCTGGCTTGGTAGCCCCCAGAGTAGGTGTTGTTACACACTGAACTGGGTAAACAATTGACTGTGTTCTTTACTGCTTTTAGATTTACTGTCTTGAAGAGTGTCAGATACGGTGTCATAATATTCACTGTGACATTAAGTATCTGCTGCCATAATTTCAAAAAGGTTTAGATAAAACATTATAGTTAAAAGGTTAATGATATAGAATATGGAATATGGATCAGTTGTGTACTCTATAATCTTCCAAAAAATAAAAAACACATATAGCTTTAAGGTTCTTACCGAAGAGATCAAAACGAGATTGGTGAAAACCGGAATCTATGAACGACAACGAGATTGGTGTGACGTCCAAATTTAAGGACGATGGCTAGATTGGTGCAGTCCCGGTTGCCGATGAAAATGACGATACTGGTGTTGCTGAAAGCGAAAGATGAAGGCGAGATTGATGCAGCTATGTGCGAAGAATGACGACTAGATTTTGATTCTTTTTCAACCGGAATTCAGCTCCCCCAAGTAATAAAAGACCTAAGATTAAGGAGATGATCAAAATCAGATACCAAAACACAAACCAAGAGACCTCCTCCAGTCTCTAGATCCAACAATGATAATTTATGGATATGAAAAATCACATGGCTTCCAGTGGTTGGTTTAGAAGTTGGGACGATTAAAAAGGAAGTAACCTAGTACTTATTATATCTCAAATATTATAGAAAATACACATCTGTATCGCATAATTTTAAACAAAAGATGACAGTTCAAGTAATTAGCATAATAATAATACCTTTGATACAAGTAGTGCAGCAAGTTGCCTTTGGTGTTGATGAGACTCTTCATCTTCATACAAACTCTCTGTTTAGCACATACATACAAAACACACATGTTTAATCTTCAACGTTCCTATTCCAACACTTGAGACATAAAAAAACTAATTCAACCAAGAAACATAAGAGAGAATCATGACATTAACATGAATACTGGTGGAGATCTTAGGCCAGAAGCTGTCAACCAAATTGTTGAGGTTAGAGAGAGCGTGAAGCTTGAGCAAGAGATGAGACTCTTGAGCATCGCCAACATACGACTAAAAGAGCTCACCAACGTCGTATCCATGACTGATCAGTGTATTGCGAAGAATTAGAATAGTTAGGGTTAGGGTTTGGGCTTGGGATTATTGGGACTGCGATCTGCGAAAATGGAACAAAGAAGAAAACTGACAAAGGGTTTGTTGTGAGATTTAATAGTGTGGGTATACTAGCATCTTCATTTTCCTTTTTCAACTGGAAGAGAAAAACAATCGAGAGGTTAAACATTAGGTTTACTCAAAGGAAAGAAGGAAATGAATGAGTAGCGTGTTTCTTTGGAATTTTACAAGAAATAAAGAAAAATAACAAATGAATATAAGATGGATTTAGGGGGGCGACAGGTAGGTTCACCGTCGTGAACTTTACTCCAGGAAAGTGATTGTGATCGTCGTGAACTTATTTTTAGAACGGTTTGCTGATAACCGTCACAATGTTTATTAATTTTTTAAAAAGGTAAGGACAGTTGATTTCAACCATCGTAACCACTATCTCTATATGTTAATTACGACGGTTATTTAGTAATTATCACAATTTTTGTGTCGTAAAACCCTAATTTTCTTGTAGTGATAATGAATCTTTGAGGTTGTTTGACATAAACTTCCTCCTCAAGAAAACAATTGAAAAATGCAGATTTGACATCTAGTTAAACATAATTCTATTACAAGAAGTTAGTCACAACAACCAATAATTTGATTGTCTCAACTCTTGCAAATACTTCCAAAAAAATTGTGAAGTTAAAGCTAGGATGCCGTAAAAATTCCTATGCAATAAGCGTTTGTCTTATGTTTGACAATGAACTATTTGGAGACTTCAAGTTAGGAATCTAATCCTCAGTGATCTTCTTGCCTGCTCTACTTGTATAACACTTCTTTTACGCATACTCTAGTCATTGAGGAATATAAATGTAATACTTTAATATGATTCAACATCTTGACTATGTCAATTTCAACATTTCTACTCATTAATTGTAACATCTCTGCTTGCAATAATCCTCGAGGATGATAGGGTTGTATAATGGTTTTAAATTGCAATCTCGCAAATGCGAATACAACTCATAATTTTGACCACTCTAGTCTCCACAATCGCATCAGAACCACAATTACAATTATAATTGCCCAATTGTAATAGCAACTACAAATTAAAACCATGAACATACAATGATAATAGTAACAAAAAAGAGATCAAAATCTAGATAGTATATATACTCTATAAGAAAAAGGCTAAGAAAACAAACAAGATCAAGTCAAAAAGAGTTCTTCTTGGGTGAGATCTCTACTTGTTCTGAGTAGGATTTGGGATGCTTGGTGGTGCTATCCTCAAATTTGGTTCCACAACTTTCCTGTTCTGATTTTTGCTTCCATTTATTTTACCAAAACTTGTTGCAAAAGATGAAGATAGAAGCTCCCTTGACCCTTGCAAACCTATCTTTCTTGAAAACCTTTGATCATGGTGGTGACAACAACAAGAGAATAGAAGAAAGTGAATCAGAACCAAGGCTAATACAGCAACAAAAAATCTGCTTCTAGTGATCTTCATAGTATAAATTGAGAAAGTTTTATAAGGTTATGCAGAAAACATGCTAAGATGAAAGAAAGAAAGAAAGAGTAGTTGTGATTTTGAAGAGTTTTGGATACTTGGTTGAGATTTATATGAAAAATGAGAAAAGGATGGGGCATGGCTTCTGCACGTGGTTAACCATAACTTGTGTTGCTATTAAATATATCATATTCTAAAAAGAGAAAAGGGTAGTTATTTAATTAATCATCGGTGTTAAAGTTAATGATATGATTAATGTTATATATTTTCAGCATTAACAAGAATGTGAAAGAAAGAAAAATGCATAGTACTTTTTCACACTGTAGATTAATTTACTAGCAAGGTTGAAACCTGGAAGATGCTGATCATGTGACACATGATAGACTAATTCTATAGAGGTTCATGTGATCAGACACGTGAATCTGAACTTTTTTATGTTTTGGAAGTTCTTGTTCACATATACCTTTTATCAATCCAAATAATGTTTTTTTTTTAAATTTTAAATCTTCGATGTGTCGTTGAAGTATTTTATGAAAACATATGAAATGGGAATTCCGATAGGAATGTTGTATATATAGAGACACTTGGAATGGAAAATGTTGAATATTTTAAGATGTCAATTGTTTCGGGCCATTTGCATGGTCTAAAGTGAAGGAGTAAAGTGCGTAAGGCTAGTGAACTCGCATTTATTCAAGAACAGACAATTTCACCTTTCAGACAATGTCTATTCCCATTTGATTTGATCTAACGGTTTCTGTATAGTACGTCTTATCTCACACATAATTTTAATCACGCTCAAATATAGAAGAAAAAACGTGACATTTTAAGTATTCAAATTCATTCTTACTTTCACATTCTTTTCATTCTCTCACTGACTTGAGCGTTGAAAAGATGACTTTGCAGGTCAGTCTTATCTTCATCGCATTGGAACTTTCTCTACCACATCAAGATATTTTTTCCTTGTTCATCGAACATTTTGGTTGCATAACGGAACAGTGTCACCGATTGTAGGTACTATAAGTTTGGACCATCCTCCTTAGTCTCGACTGGGACGTAATTGTTTCAGACTGGCCAAAATAGTTTCACATTATTGTAGAATCGAGGCTTCTCAAGTCATATTTAAAGCATGTGTTTTGATGAAGACAACATGGACATCAATTTTCAAAGGATGTGCAAAAAGCTTATCAACATCAAATAAAAGTCTTGAAGATTATTGAAGAATTATTGAAGAAATCATCAAATGTCAATATGGTATAAATAATTCTTAAAATCTTGAATATAGATGTTCACAATATGCATTCATCAACATATACATATTCCATAACTTTAACATCAAGAAAAACTTTGTTTGAAATATCTTTCAAAATGTATTTTTGAAAATAAACCTTTAGGAACCGGTTCCTCCCTAACAGGGAACCGGGTTCCAGAATTTCTCAAAAAACATGTCCCTGAATTTTGTACCAGGAACCGGGTTGTACCAATAGGGGAACCGGTTCCTGCGTGATAAATTTGAATTCCAACTTATAACGTTCACTAAGAACCGAGTTCTGTCAGTGTCGGAACCGGTTCCTAGCGAACCAATGCAGCTTTTACTTTGTTTTTTGAACATTTTTCAAGTGGTATCTTTTCATGAATGCATTGCAACTTTTCATATGAATTGGCATGAATGAAGAGGTTCTTGTAACTTTATAAAATGCAGATTTTCTTATTTTCAAACATATAGAAGAATGCTTCAATTTTCAAATTAACAAATATACTTCTTCATTAACAATTTTCTCATTCACTCACATTTGAAATTATACTTTCATGTGTTCATAATTTTGTGAAACTTGCCATATACACTTTCATTATCATTACAAGTTTCATTCATACATTGTGAACATTTATATACATTGTTGAGAATTGTTTTTATCTTGAAGAAGAAGATCAATTGAAGATTGATAAAGCTCTCCATATACTTCAAACTAAATCATTGTATTACTTAAAGAATTTATTCCCTTACTATCCAGGATTGTTGGAAGTAAGTGTTGTGATTTGAAGAGGATTGTTCTTCATTCACATTAGTGTTTGTTTGGTCTTAAAGGTGTTAAGAACCTTTGATCACCCTATAGGTTAGATAGTAAGCATAGGCTGTACAATCATTCTAACTATAGTGAAATCTCTTTCGTGTTGGAAAGGGGACTGGAGTACTCTCGGATTGTAAGGGGAACCAGGATATATCACTGTGTTATTTACTTTTCCGCATTTATCGCTTTCATCACCATAATCAAGAAAAGATAAAGATATAAACAAAACCTTCAAACACTTAACCAAAATTACTACCAAGCATTCTCATAAAACCGAATAAATTTTATAAGACCTAATTCACCCCCCCCCCCCCCCCCCTCTTAGGCACTCTGAGACTTACAATTGACATCAGAGCAAGTTATAGGTAACTTGTTCCTAAAGATCCAGAATGGCTTCCGCAAATCATCAACCAGTCTTCAGATATGGTGGTAGTAACAACAAGCCTCCTCTATTCTGTGGTGAATATTTTGACTTCTAGAAAATACACATGAAGGCGCATTTAGAAGCACAAGGAGAGGAAGTATGGGATGCTGTTGAAAATGGTCCATTTATCCCAATATCAGTAATCAATGGCATTGGTTCTGTAAAACCCAAAACTGCATGGGATGACGATGATAAAAAGAAAGTTCTCTATGACAAAAATGCAATAAACCTTCTTCAAGGTGCACTCAGTATGGACGAATTTTTTCGTGTCTCGAACTGCAAGACAGCAAAAGAAATATGGGATACCCTGGTTCAAACTCATGAAGGAACGGCTGAAGTAAAAAGATCAAGGCTAAATACCTTGAGTAAAGAATATGAACTATTTCGAATGCAGCCCGGAGAATCCATTCTTGACTTACAAAAGAGATTTGTGCATTTGACAAATCACTTAAATGCTCTTGGTAAAACTTTGACAAATGATGAACTCAACTTGAAAATCCTTAGATCATTGACTAGGGAATGGCAACCAAAGGTAACGGCAATCTCGGAAAAGAAGAGTCTCTCCGCAATGACTTCCGCTACATTATTTGGCAAACTTCAAGAATATGAAACGGAACTCGGTAGACTTGAAAAACATGAAAATTTAGAGAAGAAATCCAAAGGCATTGCCTTGAAAGTTGATTCAAAGGAAAGTCAAGATAAAGATGCATCGGAGGAAGATGAAAACTTCTTGCTTCTTGTAAAAAGGTTAGGAAAATATTTTGGTCATAAAAATAATCTTCATAAAGCTAACTTTGTCAAAAGGAAGAAATTTTATAATCATAAAGATAAAGAAGCCTCCACATCAACACAAGATGTGACATGTTATGAATGTGGAAAGCAAGGTCACATAAAGCCGGATTGTCCAAAACTCTCCAAGAAAAATGGATTCAAAGGCAAAAAGGAGTTCAAGAACAAAAAGGCTTATGTTGCATAGGAAGATAATGAGATAAGTTCTTCATCCGATTCGGAAGCGAGGAATGTGCAAATCTAGCATTAATGGCTTCACATCACTCCAACAATGAAGAAGAGGTTAGTAATGAATTTAATCTTTTTGATGATGATGTTCAAGATGCTATTGATGAACTCTTGAAAGAATGCAAAAGTTTATACAAAAAGGTGTCAAATCAAGAAAAAGAACTTCTAAGTTGTTTAGAAAAAATTGACACCATGACTAAATATTTTGATCTTCAAAAACAGAATTTTATTAAAGAAAAAGAAAACTTCGCATGCTCCAAGTGTGAATCAAATGTCTTTCAAATTATTCAATTGAAAAGAGTCATTGAACGATATGAAAAAGGACAAATAGGATTGGAAGGATTACTAAGCCAACAACGCTATCCAAATGATAAAAGGGGTCTTGGTTATGTGAATTCTAAGAAACCAAGTAACAATCCCACTGTTTTTGTAAAGGCTAGTAATAGTTCCAATCCCAAGAAAGTAGAAAAGAAGCAAGTTGTTCATAATCATCAAAAGAAAAAGGCTAATGTATCGAAAAAGAAAACATTTCCTAAGAAGAAATCTTATCCTTCTAGATATAGAAGTAACTTTGAACCTACTTGTTTTTATTGTGGTATTAAAGACCATACACCTAATGCTTGCTATGTTAGAAACTTTAGTATAGCAAGTGGGCATTATGTGTGGGTGAAAAAGGGAACTAACTATGAAGGACCCAAGGCAACTTGGGTACCTAACAAAGAATAATTTGTTTGTGTAGGTATGCTTGAAATCCACATCAAATGTTTGGTATCTTGATAGTGGATGTTCAAAGCATATGACAGGAGATGTACACCAATTTTCATATCTAGTACATAAAACCAAAGGGTATGTCACCTATGGAGACAACACCAAATGAAAGATTCTTGGCGTTGGAATAGTTGTCACACCTCCATCCATTCAAATTGAGGATGTTCTCTATGTTGAAGGATTAAAACACAATCTTCTTAGCATAAGTCAACTTTGCGATAGAGGGTTCAAGATCAAATTCAACAAAGTTGAATGTCTCATTATGGATGAGGCAACCAATGAGGTAAAACTCAAAGGTATAAGAACTAACAATATTTTTATGATTACTTTAGATGATTTGTCTCTGAAGGTACAATGTCTTATGGTAAACAACAATGACGCTTGATTATGGCACAAGAGGATCGCTCACATTCACATGGAGCACTTGAACAAATTGGTTAAGCATGACTTAGTTATTGGTCTACCAAAGATGAAGTTCATCAAGGACAAATTATGTAATGCATGCCAAAAGGGAAAACAGACCAAAACAACTTTAAAATCTAAGAATGTGGTGTCTACTACAAGACCACTACAGTTGTTACACATGGATATCTTTGGTCCATCAAGAACAAAAAGCTTCGGAGGTAATGTATACGCTTTAGTCATTATTGATGATTTTTTCTAGATATTCTTGGACTTTGTTTCTTGTGCAGAAAAGTGATGCTTTCAAAGCCTTTAAGAAGTAT